TCCCTAACGTTCTGTGATTCTGTGATTCCATTATTATTCATGTAGTTGAAGAACTAATATTACAGTGCTGTTAACAGCAGTTACTACTGAAGTCAGACTTGGTGCTGAACTGAAGGTAATAATTTTTCTTTGTGCTGGAAGACCCTAATGAACATCCCAATGTTTGTAAGGTAGATGTCCTCAACTAACAGACGAAGAACAACAAAGAAGACTGTCTGAACCAGACACTTGTACAGACATCGGTGGGTACACTCTGTCCCTGGACACTGTCCTGTTAAACAGCTCTAAGTAGAAATAAAACCTGTTTTTTCAGTCTCTGGTTGGGTCCAAAAATTAAGTTGATGTCAGCAAGTTTCTAGCTGAGGATGCAAGGGTTTTATCACTATCTTATTTCCCTAATTTATTCATCTTCCTGTGAGACACTAGCTCTAACTAGCCAACACAATTTTCCCTTATGCAAAACCTCTCCTCGTCCCCCTCTATCCCTCTTAAGAAGAGTGAGAAGAAACAGAAGTAAGGATTACATATAAATCTGCCCTGTCTTGTAATCAGTGATATTTTCAGTAGCTATAGATCAAGACACTTGTGATTTAGAGGTTTTGGAATGTGCCAGACTTTGAGATGCAACACAATCCAGTGTGTATTTCCTTCACACAGTTTAATCTGAAAGCAGTTGACAGATCATCTATCAGCTGGGTTTTAAAGTGTTCCTTACCATGACGTCTGAATGGCTGGAATCAGAGTAGACTAGAACTGTGCAAATGTAACGTTTTTTTTTTTTTTTCTTTTTAAAATGCATCACCAAAATGAATGGCCTTAGGTGTGCTATACTTCCATGGACATGTTGATATCAAATAACCCCAGAGTTATAATCTCAACGTTTTGTTCAGTTGTGTAGTGCAAACGATCATATTTGAACTGGGTACAAGTATCAGATTGAACAAGGTCAGAAGGAGAGGTAGATGCCACTGCTCTAAAACCTGCCCAGTAGGAAGGCAAGGTGCATTTTTGAATGCTAGCTAACATACACATGCACATGTTTCATACAGTTCAAAGAAACTAAAAAAAACCCACCCCAAACACAAAACCACAAAAAGCACCTGATAATCACTCCTCTCCCTCAATTTTCAATAGATCAGCCCTCCATCAACACCCACATTCATTATTCCACTTCACTCTATGACAGTAGATATTTTGATTTATTTACTCTCTTTCGCAAGGAGTGAGCATGGTTTACTCCCTTCTGAGAACCTTCAGAAAAATAACTGCAGTTAAACTTACAGAAACATTACAACTTTATGTAACCAAAATTATAAATATTTTACTGTTTCCAGAATTGTCATTCAAGAATGAGATGAGATGATGTTTACGTTACTTCAGTTCTTAGGGACATTTTCATTATAAAACTTTGTGAAATGTTAATATACCACTGCTCTCTGATAAAACAAAGTTCTTTCTCCCTCACAAAATTTAGATCTAATGTTGTAATGTAAAACTGTATAAGAGACACAAAAGGCTTGTACCAAATAAGAATAGCCACAGTCCATTCCCCCAGTAAAACATAAAACATTAAGAAAGGTTAAGACACATCATCCTTATTGCAGCCATGGGGTGCAGCAAGAAGATGAGGGCACTGACAATGAAAAAAAACTACAAAGAGTTTTCATTTGTAACAGTTTGATCTCCTCCTAATGAGCGCCTGAAATTATCCAAGCTCTGAGAACACACAATAATACATTTGCTATTCTTGGAATGGTATCACCATATCCTGCAAAAGAATTTGCTGCAACGTCAGCTTAAAACTTGCATCAAAACTGGCTCTCAAAGGGACTGAATGAAAACAAAGATCCACAGGCCTAATAGGTGAAGAAGTATTTGAAAAGGCAGATAAATAAACCCTGAACAGGGAAAGAATTTTACTTTCATATGGTGAAGACTGAAAATAAAATAACAAATAGGTACACGGAGGCACTATAACAAATAATACAAAGGTACTGTACTAACTTAGCATATTAAAATGGTATAATTCAAAACTGATAAACATATTTCTTTTAGAAACACTGTGTACTTACGGTTTGAGATTTCTTCTTTTTCTTTTTTATTGCCTTGAAAAAACCTTGCTTTTCTTTCTCCTTGAGCTGTTCTGAGTGACTGTTAAGGTTTTCAGGACTTTTCCTAAACATGAAATAAGGTACTGTAAGAGAGATTTTATTTTGATATTGTGTAAATTCTGTGTGATAATGAGATCTTATGCCAAAGAATGCAAATTATTGATTAAAGCAAAAAGATTCTTAATGTTTTAGCATTCATTGGTTCAAGGGTTACTATTCAAATATCAGATAAATAGTCTTATTAAATGGGATAGGAGGAACACAGTGTTAGGGTAAAACAATTAGCTCAAAACAGTGAATAGTTATTTAGGGAAAAGGAAAGCATGCATGTCTTTTTTTTAAGACAGAATTTAATATTCAAACCAAAGTATCACACACAAGGTCTGTTAGAAAAGTGAAAATCGTATCTGAGAGAACATACAAATGGTGATGAGGTATAAAAGCTCAGGTCCAGTTTATCCATTGCTTGCTGGGGAGCCAGGAGTTGCAAAGTTCGTCAAAGAGAACCAGTTTCACTCAAACTTCCTGAGCTTTGCTGACATGGTTCCAAATTTATCACCAGGGAAGCTGGGGATCTACTGTTGTCCATTTCAACTTAAAAACTTCAGTTAGTTTGTTATCTATCAGTGAGACAGTGCTGGCAAAAAAAAGATGACCCGAAAGTGGAATAGTTGACTTGCCTGAAGACTGAATTTCCACCATTTAACTTGTCTACACAGCTGAATGAACTAGAGCTGATAAATAACGTATTAATTTAAGTATACACAGTAAACTACGTATGTAAAGTACTGATATGGGGTTAAAAAGATGGTTTATGTAGGGTATTGGTGAGACGTAACTGAAAGCAGTTCTAGTGCCCTTTAAAATAGTTTGAGAACTGGAAATGGTGCAGGACTGTGTCACAGCAATAAGATAGAGAGGATAGCCTACATTAAGAGAGACAGACATTTCAATCTCTTTAGTGTGTTAAAAAACACAGCCAAACCAGCCCCAACATTTAGTTTCCTTGATTGCAGCACGCAGGTACTGATCCAGGAAGAAATTACAGAATACCAGAAGGATCTTTAAAGTAAAGGGCAAAGATTTAACAAGACCAAGTGGGTGGACAATGAAGTCAGAGAAGTCATATCAGAAATAAGGCACTGATTTTAAAAACGAGGATCATTATCCGCCAGAACAAACTCATCAGTGAAGAAGTGGGTTTCCCATGTCTGACATTTCAAGTGAGGACCTCATACTCTTCTGGGAGACACACGCTCATCAGGTGTGCTAGAGGGCCTGGTCTCCAGAGAACAGATGACATTTAATTGCAACTAACACGCAGAAAATCACACTGGGTGATTTAATAGTCCCTTTTCACTCCTAAGTTGTAAGAAAACATAAAGGAAATTATCCCATTGTCTTGATGGAAAACCTAAAGGAAAGCCACAGTTTTAAGGGCTATGCATGACAAAAAGGAACAGCTTTTCTTGGAGTAACTGTAATGCAGCAACACGTAGCTGTCTGCTATAGTTATCCTTGGGTTCTAATTCTGGCTTCAAATGCTATGCTATCAGCTGGTGATTCAGCTGCTACTACATGCCAAGCTGACATTTTTCCAAGCAAATGTGAAACACATAATTGGGGTAGGAATGACTAGAATCATCCTCCTTATCAATAAGAGCATCTTCACTGATGGTGGTTTAATCAATTTCTCCACAAAAACACCTCAAGCTCACCATGCTACCTGGTTCTAAATATAAATGTATGCAGTGTTTAAATGCTGTAATAAAGTGCAATTGTTGAGTAAGAGCATGTGCTTAGAGGAAAAATTTACAGGCAGAGAAGATGGTGGAAATTTTCCTAATTTATATTTTTGGAACTTGCATCTAGATCCAGAAAACACATTCAAATGCTCAACAACTTAGATTTAATGTGAAAATTATAAAGCTGAAAGTAGCTATAGGAAAAATCTTTAGTTTAGTACAATTATTAGATTTCTACCACATATTTTAAATATCCTGGATTGCTAACGATTCCTGTTACCGTTATGTCCCTGCATTTGACACCGCTGTGTAACAGCAATAAGGCCGTCTTGTTTTATTCACCTAAAGCATTAAGGAGAAAGCCCAAGAGTAAAGACTACTGACAGATTTACAGATTTGGTCAACTCACAAGACAGGCTTAAGACAGACAAAAGCCCTACTGAATTATTTATTACATTATTTTTATTTAATTTGTTAGGAAACAGGGAGGAAAAAAAGTATGTGCCCCATCTGGCTTGTACTCTGGAAATGATGTGAATGGGATTGAGAAGATAGGAGAATCTTCTGAGCCATTCCACAGAGGAGTTAGCGTGCATCCACATCTGAAAACATACCCCAGACCATGTCCCCAGTGCAAATTACCAACCCAGTGACTACGCTGCCAACTGAAGAACCAGATTTCAGATCACACAGAAGTCCCAGTGTGGTTACTTTGCATTGTGCTTTAACACTTTTCAATGTCTTCCTATGGCTTTTCTGCTGTTCTGAAGTCCATTCCAAAATGGAGATGCTGTATTTTTAAAGGTGAACTTAATCTTCTGAATAAAATTTGGGACAATTTTTGCTACACTTTTAGACAAAGTTTCACTAAAGCGTAATTCTTTTCTTTGGCCCAGTGAACTCGACAAGAAAACTGCCCCCTACAGCAGACGAGCAGAGAAGTGAAATTCTACATCATGGTTTCCTCTTTATGAATATCATGACCAGAGAGAGGAGAAAAATAAGGGGCTGAGAACTCTGCTCATTTTCAATTGCTGCTTACCCAAAAGCCAGTGGTTTTATACTGACTGGTTTATGTCATTAACTCCTATGACTCATATTGCAGTATGGTTGTCTGAAAAAGCATTGACCTTGAAAAGCAACTGCTTCAAAACACACGCTCATTATGTGAAGAGAGTGAACATATATAGCATTATAGCAGGAAGCTTCAACACCAGGATTCTGTACTGCGTAAAAATAGAGCAGAACATTTTGATTGATGAGATGAAACACTGGGATATTTTAGGCATCCCAAAAGATGATTTTCAGACAATGGACAGTACAGGAAAAATTAGGATTATCAGAAAAAAAAATATCTATACAGTCTAGTCACTCAACACTAAGATTTTGTAATATAACTGCAAATATCTTGGCATTTTGCATAAAGCTTCAGCTTTTGAAAACAAGCAGTTACACCTGAATCTGTTATGCAGCGTCTCTTTTACTAGCAAGTAAGACTAGCCCTAGAGAAGAGCCTCTACTCAGAGAGCCCACTCTCAAGCAGAAACCATGGGCAAAATGTGTTGTTCTTTGTAATTTTATCTGTGTGCCATTTGCATGCTTAGGACGTATAATGTAGATCATATTGGTTATTCTGGTCTGAGACACTTGGTAAAGATGCAGGTATAAACAGAAATTCTGTGTCTATCACTAGAATTTATTGTTCCTGGCAGGAAAGGTATCCAACTTCATGCAGGTACAATGAGGTGTAGCAGCAAACATGCATGGGGCAAGCAAGTTGACGTGCTTTAATATTAACTAAAAAGAATAAGTAAGAAGATTCGTATTGCAGACAGCTCTTTTTGAGAGGCAATTCCTCATGCTTTTTCAGTTATTCTTCAGCAACCTTAATTTCAGCAAGCAGATTGGCTGGGAAACCCTCTGTACCTGCCAGTACCACCCCCTTTACTGAACTGCTCACAATTACACAAGTAAGATTTTGGTCTAATGGAGGAATTACTGGAATGTCTGAAGTTTTCTTCAGAAGATAAATGAACAAACACTAATTCTCCAAACCAAAGTTAGCTTTTGGTTTTGCTTAAAGTAAAACCTTTGGCAGTTACAGAGGTACCATAAAGGAAGACAAGAAAATATCAGAAAGTAATGAAGCACCTCAAATAGATGGTTTACTTAAGGTAAGAATCTCAGTCCCCCAAGCTGAATCCCAAAGTAAAACTTATTGGTCTAAAAGCCTGGCATTGAAGCTTAAAAATCAGAGATCGAATCTGAACTTTGCTTGAAGCTGCAATTTTTTTATATATTTTTTTTTCATGTGGCAAAGGAGGATTTGTTAACTGGAATAAACCCCAGAACTGCTATCTTATATAAAGAATGCAACCCAGAAGCCACTAAAGCCTCTAGAAAACTTGAGGTTATGGAATCACTAAAAAAAGTATATGTATAAATGTATATATACACACACATTTTACACCACCCCACTCCCACACTTCCCAGTATCGTTCAACATTAGTAACCATAAAAATTTAGAAGTGGTTGGTTTCATAAACTTAAAAACATAAAAAGCATATACTTCACTAGGCTTATTTTTTTGACAGAATATTGGTGACTACAAATTCTGGAAAGCCTCCTTGCAAGTAACATTAGACTGCATTGTCTAATTTTTAGTACAAAACAAAACCACTGATGACAGGGGAAGGGTCACCGAAGAGGCACTGGTTACTAAAGGAGACTGGTAGGGAGGCTCAGGTGTTGCCAAACAGCTGAATAAAGCAAACGTTGGATGACAAGGCAGGTGCAGGAAATATCAGAGGGAAAGCTGTACCATGAGGAAGGTGAACATCTTGAAGCTATGGAGAGCAGATTCCTCTAAAGCCTCATCCAGTGTAACACACAGGTGATTTTTAAGCTTGCAAGTTACAAATTTGAAATGTCCTGATATTTTTTGTAAATTCAAGAATTCTGAAAATGAACTGGAAAGTATTTACAATGCAGCAACAGTTGTACTGCGGACACAGTTCAACAAGCTTTAAACTAGCGTGCTCAGATATTGGTAACCTTCTAGTTTCAGGAACATAAAGTGTGACTATATTGTTACACTGATAGCAAGCCAGTGATATGATAACCAGTTACATCATGTTTACGAAATACTGTATTGTTTTGGAGTCTTGAAAATTAATAGTAGGTAGGCATGTCAAAGGCTTACAATTATCTAAGAGCAGGATGTTATTTTTTGTCTTTTCTTGAATGACAGTTTGTGTGTGTTTATACATATTAAATACATACAAAATTAATAATAAATATTATATATATTTTGCCTTTTTATTATTTTTTGCAGAAAGGTATGGCATATGCTAGAGAAGATATGACAAGCTGTTTGCCATAGAATGAATACATTGATACGGACATAAAAGGTCTAAGCAACAAAGCCTTCCCAAAGCCCTCAAATATCTTGTGAGCAATCAATGCAAACACTTCCAATGTGATGTGCAATAGTACTGCATGTTGGACTTCATTCCGAAGAGGTATTTGGAACTGTAACAACAGTCAGGCCAACATTTTGGCACATTGGCAGAACAAGGTTAAGCATCTTGCCTATACCTACTGATTTCACCCAGCTCAAGACAAAGCTTGTACAAGTGAAAGAGAATAAAACATCTACACTTGTATCAAAAAGGAAAAATGGAGCAAGTTCAAGGTCATTTACAGAAAATTAAACTCTGGCAAAGAGAAGTTTTTCTAGAAGGATGAAAAATTTGCCTTTTGTAAAATAAAGTTGCCTAAAGTTCAGAAATGATCTAGTAATTTAAGAGTAAAACCTGATGACAAAAGTCGAGTTTATAACATCTTTATTTTAAAGAGGCAAGACAGCAGGGACAGAGTGAAGAAATGCACACAGAGACAAGGGAACATCTGTGACAATTCAGTCTAGCAAACAGTCACAAAATCTTTGACAGAAGAAAGGCAACACAGAGCAATAATATGAGAGAAGCAGTATTTTACAGTAGTGGCAAGTCCAGGTGGAATACATGTCACTCATAATTCAAGATGAATTGTCATGTACCAGTTACGTATGTCAGTCAAACATCAAATATTTACTTCATCATAAAATTGATGTAAGCAGAATCACATTCCATTAGAGCTTTCAACATTTGCATAAGCGTTTACACAACTTCTATACAGAAAATTAGGTAGAGGAACATAGACTCTACATCACTCAGGAATCTGATTAAGCTGCATTTATGGCACAGAACAATTTTGCAACAACATTAGACCATTGCCAGGACAACTTGCACAGAGTTAACATGTAGAGCTGGGCAGGAAACATTTCAGCAAAATAGGGAGTAGGAGAAGCAAAGAGAAAGAGAAACGCATGCCAAGATAGCAGTAACTTGGTGTTGTGGGCACTGCCATTCCTCCCATTTTGTAAGAAGAAATGCTTATTCTTCTGTGGGTTCTTGTCTCAAAGGAGCTGTTCCACTTAGTGAAAATATCAGAGTACGTTAATTGGAGCAAGGACGTAAATCTAACTGTCTCAAAGTTAATGAAGGGCCTTATTCACTAGGCCACATTCAGCATTTCTGTGGTCCTTTCACTGTTTCAACAAGATGAAACAGCTTCAAGAGGATATATTGAGGGAAACAGAGAATGTGCTCCAGAATAACCTCTAACTTCTGGTTCAGGGCATTCACTTGTTAGATCTAAGATCATGGTTCAAGCCTCTAGTTTAAATAACAAAGAACAAAGGCCCCGCACTCAAGTTCTTCATATTCCAAAAAATAACGCTGACCCCAGAATATTTGTTATTTTGAGTATATCTCTGCTTTTGACTGGCAATTCCATTCTGGAGCTGAAGAATCTTCCCATAAAAGGCTAGTGGATATCAGTCTGTTCCTTTGAAAAGATTTGGTTTCAATAATTTGGCATTGTAAGCAAAAAAAAAATACTTAGTCAAAAAATTCCCAACCAGCTCTAATAACATATGTTATTATTTCAGTTCAGAGTTAAAGTAACATTACATGCTTCTTTGCAGTGACCACATAATAAAAGGTAATATATTGTCAAATGATATATATAGCAAAACAAGACTCCAGTTGGCTTATCTTATGTGCAAGATAGAAAGATTCAGATATGAAGAACAAAATACGTAAAAGGGTTCAACAATAGGAATAAATACCTTCTTTAGCCACCACATAAGTCACAACATAAGTACCACCTTTTTACATAAATGAGCAGATTCCTCAGCTAACTTCCACAAAATGGATGTAGGTGGAGCTACTGAAGGACAGGAAGCAGACTCTGGTGAATCAGAGCAGGCGATAAGGGTTCTGGAGTAAACATCTTCTGTTACCAACATGGGTATATAACCTGAACACAAGCTAAAATGCCAGTTGTTTCCCTTCCCCACCCCACTCCCCTTTCTTTTTTAAGCAGATGATTCAAAGTTGTTCATGTGAAAGCACATTAAATCAACAAACCACTGAAACAGTTCTTTAGATAGCATGATTTTATCGCACTTTCAGAGAGTGGCAGGAAGTACAGTTGAACCATGCGAATACATACAGTCCATTTCTCCCACCCATGCTTTGAAGCTCCATTTGCTTATTTTTATTCAGTGTGCTTTATTGTGATTGAACAAAGTAGAAGATTAAGAGTATTTTAGAGCTGAACAGCTCTCAGAGCAACAAAAATAAGGTATTTCCCTTTAAGTCCTACAAGGCTATGCATATGCTGCCATTCTACTAGCATAATTATAGTTAATTGTTCTATGTTATATAATGGAGCCATGTGATGCTTTTAATCTTTTAAAACCAATATACATCATTACGATGTTGCTTAGTCCATTTTCCCATAGAACGTACTCATTTCCTTCTGTGGTGCATAAGCAAAAAGAGCAGCAGTCCCCATTGTAGGGTGAATATTATATTCTTCATTAATACAGTCCTATTTTATAATTGGAAACATGCATTTTGATACTTTTTCCATCTGACAATTCATGCTTCTGGAATCCACAGATGAAGCTACAGCCTTGAAATCCATACTATATGCACACAAACATTTTGTATTAGCTTTAACTGAAGATTAATAGTGGAAAAAAATCAGGAAAGACTGGACAAAAATATATAAACTTTAATGCATCCAGTGTGATAGTGTAATTAAGGATTTCTTGTTGCTCAAAAGGGGACAGAAAACATGCAGTGCTACGTCAGTATAGTGAGAGGAAGCAACTAAGCACATATAGACAATTGCAAATTTTGAGAAAAACATGAAGTTTTTTTCCCTCCTGTTAAAAATCCCTTTTTTTTTCCCATGCCACATCTGTGTAAACAACAACTCACCAGGTATCAAAGGTTGTTTGTCTCTTTGAGTGGTTTGCCACCGTGCTGCTGTCTGCTGGTAACACAGAGGCTCTGTTTGACACATTGTTTTCTATGTACGTACTCTCTGGACGCGGAGATGGAACTGAACAGAGAAACAGCAAACAATGTATACTGAGCTCTCCTAAAAATCCCATCTTTCAGTTGTCTGCCTCCTCTCTACCTCTTTTAAGGAAACAAGACAGTGGAGACACAGTTGTACTTTATGTCTGACTGAATAAAAAAGTATACTTTTTTATAGTTTGGAAAGGTGTTTTGTGATACTTGCAAGGCAATTATAGTTGTAAAATGAAACCATCATGAGAACTTGGGTAAGCTGTCATTAGATTTGAGAACTTTTCTATCTGTAGGGAGCCACAAGTGTGATCAATATTTAAAACCAGGAAATAGATTAAAAGGCTGGAATACTGTTATTAAAGACACAAAATACCACAGTTCAGACTTTGTCTTCACTTAGACCTTAAAAAAATAGTACCCATCCTGAAAAAAAACTACTTTGGATTTTAATATAACTAAGAGATTACTTACTAAAAATGAAAGAATCAAAATCATATGTTATATATTTTTCAGACAGACATACCGTGGTTTTGAAAATAGGTTAATAAATACCTAGAACATAAATTTATTAGAATTATGAATATCACTGGAAATAGCTGCACTGGATTAAAAATTGATCAGACACTACTTGCAGCATTACTGCAGCATCACACTATACTATTCGTCAAAACTGAATCTGTACATTTTTGTTCAAGCTGTATTATAAAAAGTACATGTTAATAACCTTTGTATTAAAGCCAGTACTTAAGAACTGCATCAATATGAATTTACTTTTTTCATAGTAACCTTTTATTTCAATAATTTTTGCATATACTATTATCTATGTACTATTTAAATATAGTATCATTTTTCCAGTTAAATAGTTAAGCCTGTGAACTAAAATGTATATGTTTCATAGGTTTAATAAACTAGATGCTTCTTCCTCTTTAGTAACAAGGAACTGAATTCATCCCCAGACCTACAGTTTCCATAGCACATGATTTACAGGAAGTCATTCTTCCTTGGAACTTCTTTTTCGCTATGTATAAAAAAGAAGATAATCCATGTCCAATTTTATCAGTGTTTTGAGGATTAATAAAAGCAATTCAGGAATGAGGATTCTTAAGAATTCTCTGTTGCGTGTGCTACAAAGCCTTATACTCAAAAGCATTGCTCAATATTGCTCACAGGTTTTAATATTGCAGTGGGACGCTTGCAAGGATTGGCAGATTTTAACATGTCTAAATCAGGTCATCAGCCAACTGACCAACCTGAAGGGGATCAGAGGGAGATTTGTGACTCTACTTAAGGTTATTAGGTAACTCATAATCGAATTTTAGCTGATTGGGACTTCTTAAGGTTCAGGGGAGCCCCACAAGCCTCCTAACAGTGGCAGGACAGTAATTAGCTTCTTATCATCCTTGTCTTTTTTGACCCAGGTTTAGCCATGAGGCAGCTGCTCAGAAATCACCATCTTTTGTGTGCCACAATAGAACAATATCTGTGTGTGTGTGTGTATGTATATATGTATGTATATACACATGCGCGCGCGCATATGTATACATACATGCATATATATATGCACATAAACAGTCCTGTGTTGTTATTTATTCTGAACTGGGATTATATAAACGTGCTTTTCCTTGTAGGAAACCCTGATCTTTAGTAAGTCTGAACAAAAGAAATTAATATAGGTTCTGAGCAATGAAAAACTAGCATTAAAGTTCCATGCACCACAGTATCTGAAATAGATCAGTAAGTATGTCAGTGCGTTACAAGTGTTTAGATATAATGTTAATAAGAATTTAAAATATGAATTAAAAACATTAATGAATTGTTTACTCTGACAATATGAATGTACTTTTTTTCAACTCCCCTTATAAATTATCTCCTGCTTTACAAGGTACTGCACTGGATATACTTTTCAATCAAAGAGAGTTATCATTTGCAAATAGATAATATAACACTAATACAGTTACTGCATACAACCGAGCAGGGTCAACTCAGTCTGAAATTGGGCTAACAATAACCTGTTCATGTTAATTCTTTGTATCCATTTCCACTACTTAATTTATATTCCATGTTAAAATTCTTGTTTAATTTTGAAAGATCCACCATAAAATTACCTCTGTAAAAGCTGCCAACTCTTCTCGGAACAGGGTCATTATACAGAATTCTATTTTCCTTAGTAGATGCTCCATCTTCTGTGTGTGGATCGTGATAAGCTCCACCCTAAATAGAAGAACAATTAACTATATCAAATGAAAGATTCTAAACTGCTTTGAAGTTTTTAACCAACATACATAAGCAAGAAACCACTACACAGAATTTTCCTTACATGTTATTAATAATTGCTAATACCAAATAACAGACTATGCAATCAAGAATTATTTGGTTTTGCTGCTTGCTTGCTTGCTTTTTCCAAAAAGACAAAAATGGCATTAACAAAATTTTGCATTTTAGTTGTAATTTGAAAGACCTGAGCATGATTCAGACTCTCAGATTTTATCCAAGAATAAAATGCAGTTATAACATCTCTGGAGGAATCTTTTCTCAAGGCCTTGTTAAATTAATTTCTGATGGAATTTGGTCACTCTGCTACTGGCAAATCTTAAAAAGCAAAGAGGAAACACATATAATTTGTGATAATTGGAACACCAAAGCACTACCTCTTATTTAGTTGTTATACAGTAGAACCAATAGTCACAAAATCTACTGTATGCAAAATAGGAGGAAGCCACTGAAGTAAGCAATCTCGAAGCTAAATAGTTAAGTCAGATAGGAGAGCAAGAACAAGAGCATTACCTCTAATTTATTCTGCTTTCCTGAATACAGTACTTCCTGGAAGGTACGTCAAGCAAAAGCTTAGGTACACCCTTAGAAACACTGCATGTAATTGCATTACGTATGCATGTAATTTGCCACCAAATATGACTTATAACTCCACTTTTAAATGAACCAGATACTGCAATTTTTCCTACAGTATGGACCGACCAGATAAAATTCAATGGTCTCTACAAGACCCTGCAGGAAACTGTACTGAAACTCCTATATGAATTTAAATCTAGAATGTCCAAGAAGGACAAAGGTTAAAAACAAACAAACAAACAAAAAAAACCAGCTAGAATTAAAAACTGGGATTTCAGTTCACTATATGAGTGATTTGCAAAATGTATGTTGCCTTTTATTAAGGAAGATCTGTCCTCACTGTCACAGATAAAACAACCCCTGAAACTGTGTTGAGAAATGCAGCTAAAACAATGCTTTAAATCAGTTTGATTCTTCTAAAATGTACAAGAGACTGAAGCATTTGATTAAATTACTACTTGTGTAAGGTATGTTGTATTTGTCAGCAGTTAAGTTACAAATATGAGACAGTAATAGCAACTTGCACTTGGTTTTCTTCTGCTTGCCCCCTTTTGTGTACATTTAATTTAAAATAAAAAAGAACTCTTAAAACAAAGTGTAGTGTTGAGGTTTGAAAAGCCCCCAAACTAACACTGAATGCGAGTCTTTTTTTCCTTTTCCTTTTTTTTTTTTTAAGTAAGATTTAAAGCCTGGCAAACCTTTCTTTAAAAGGCTCGGTAGAGCTAAAGAGAAAACCAATGAGAAACTAGAAACACGGAAGTAAGGAAACTTCACAAAATATGAGCAGAGAGAGAGAGAAAGAACCGGTAGAACCGAATGGGAAAAAAGTAATAGAAAAACAATAAAGTATCTTTGAGAATACTTATGTTATTCCTGATTTTTTCAGTTCAGTAATTCTGATGGAAGTTAAATTTTCTGATTTCTAATGCAGAATGTGGGTTGGGAGAACAGAATAATTCCAATTTGTTTTTGAAAGTAATATAAACAAACAAAAACAGCTTTGTGAATTTACAGACTTGCCATCCAGATTTCTGATGGTTGAAATACAGATTAATTAACTGACCATAAGAGATAAAGACAAGTTCTTTATAAATGATTATGCATTCCAAAGCAAACCAAAATGAACAAAAAAAAAAAGCATTAAGATACACATCATTTTTTCTAATTAAAACAAAAATTTGTCAACCAATTGTGAAAAGACAAAGAATGATCTGATAAAAACAATCTGCCTCTACATAATATGAAATTGAAATTATCAAATTAGTATCTGCTACATAACGCAGAAAAAGATCCTAATGCTCTGAAGAATACAAGATAGCATGAGCTTTTATTATCAGAAACTCAAATGTTGGTGTTATTGCCCTTCTACAGTAACTTCTAAAAGAATAAAGAGCACCTAACTTGACTGAAATGAGAGAGAGAGAGAGAAAAATCACTACATAAAGAAAAAAAAAGGCTGGTTTTGAAATGGAGCTGCTGTAATCCCTTCTAAGTAGCTTTTCTTTTTTTAAAAAATTACATTGTATTTCTCCTATTTTGATGAGATCTTTTCTCATGTGTGAATACACATAATCCTGAATGGAGGAGATGTAGCAAATACAGACAAAAATAATATGTCTTTTTTTTTTTTCTACTAGACTGAAGAGGTAACCACTACCTGAAAACTCTTTTTTATGGTACTTGTAGACCACTATCAAGTAAGCTATACATGTTTCTTACAGAAACTAAGTAGGCAGAGTTTTTTAGTCTTTCATATTACAGCGTAAGTTTTAGACCTTAAATAATAGTAGTATATTTGAGTTCCTTTGAAATTCCTTTGAAATTTTGAATGTCTTCCATTTGTCAACAAATCTGAACTAGATGTTGTCTCCTTAGAAGTTACTTTATCACAGATGTACATACAGAGAAAAAAACACTAATTTTTGTACTTCTCTTTGCACCATTTTTCTCCACTTTGGATCAATGTTAGAGCAATTTCAGGATTTGGGGACAAATGCAGTCATCTTTATACATCTGCTGTCTAAAACACTAGGTAATTCAGAAGTGTTGTGTGAGGAATGTAAAACAACACCAGAACTAGCCTTTCTTCTACTCATTAAATAATGCTCACAGTAAAACACAGCAAGGGATCCAGTGACGGTGATCACCGTGAAGAGTCAATTTACCAGTAGCTTCTCCAACATAAAATCTCTGGACTATCCCAGTTATTTATCATACTAATCAAGAGAAATATTGCAAGTTTTGAAATAGTAAATTCTGGCAGTTCAGCAATAATGTTGTGCTATAAGCAAGTGAAAAGCTCACTTCAAAAATTAACATGAGCATTCATAACAGAAAGATATACAAGCAAAGTGAAATAAAAACACAAATGAGAAGGTTGATTAAGCAAAACTATATGATAAAAATGACATTGGACAATTTAACCAAAGACCAGGAACTACTACTGAAGTTTTAACTTAAGAGAAAAATTTTTCTGTTCTTGCATTTCAGTATTTTAAGAGAATGGTATTCATAGTCTATTTTTAAAAATTATTTTTAAAGTAACCTCTTAATATGCACTTGAAATATTCAGCCCATCTGAAAAAAAAAACCCAACACCCCTTGCCTTACAACAAGACAAATAAATGAATAAATATGCAAACAAGCAGAAGACAGAAAGCAGGACACTGTCCCCACGTGAAGTAAAGAGGGGAAGGTAAGCCTTCCATAATAGGCAATATTTTGAACTAACCCTATTAGTATCTTCTGTACAGTCTTCTCGTGACGAGCCAACAGATCTTGTGAGTGACTTATGCTGCACCTGTGGAGATAACAGTTGCAGGCTGTTTGCTCTGGCTGCCATCCCTTGCCCTATGCTTAAGCCACCCTCTGAGCCCTTTGACCTCACTCTGTCCCGGCTCACATACATAGAGTGTCTATGAGGGCGCTGCTGTGAAGAAAAAGGACTGGTATAACCTAGACCATAGGAAAAAGATTCATGTGGAGCAGAGAGAGAGTGGGAATGGCTTCCATCCATGTGATCTGGCAGTTTTAACTCCTCCATTGTTTTGGAGTGTCTTGTTGATGGTCTTCGGGTATCCAGAGTACCCTCGCTGCGGTTATTCCTCCCGGACGGACTGAGCAAAGTTCTGTTGTCACCGTGTCGCGGAGCAGTTGGACTGGTGGGAGAGTTCAAGTCCATACAGCTGGATGGAAAATACCTACTGCTGTTCGGTTCTGCAGCTTGGGCCCTGGCCTCAGAAAGGTTGCCCACGGATTTCGAGTCTGTCAGAACCCCATGGCTCTTTGACTTTGTCCGATATGAAGGACTCTTAGAAGACTGTGGGATAGTATCAATATAGCTGTGGCGACTGTGCTTATCGCCAGGTTGCAGTGTCCCAGTTTTGCTTTGAGAGGTTTCCATAAATGAGTGCCGGTTCTGCTGAGATCTGGTGTTAGACTTCAGGTACTTTGTGCCTGGACCATCAGAACTTTTTGGGTCCACATTAAAATCAAATTCTGTTTTAGCCTTTGTATCCTTTGGGCTGAGAAGATGTGGCATGTTATTATTGGCTAGATCCTTGTTGCCAGATCCGGGTGTGTTGCTTGATTTTTTTGCATGCATTGGACTATGTGCAGCTCCAGGAAGGTTTCCATTTAAAAAACTTTCATTTGCTGGAAGACCCTCTTCTCTTGGCCCGCCAACCCCTAGTGTCTGTATATCCTTGCTGTTTGATCTGTGGTGTGACTGCAAAGCAGAACTTTTGCTGGCTTGATTTCTACATTAAAATGCATAAAGAAGCATTAATATACCAGATTACATATTCATGTAGTAATAACTTCAGTAAAAGTACTCATTTCAGAAGGGAGTTGCCATTTAAAAACACAAAGTTTAACTGCAGTAAGATCAAATACTGTCAGCAAGGCATCAGAAGCCCCACTAAAATAACTGATTTGCAAATGTTAGTACATTGTTGTCTCTTTCTGATTATATCCTGATAGACAAATTGAGCTTTGGTTAATGGATTTTGCCAACAAAAAAAATGAAGCTATAAAATCCAATCACAGACATTCCAACATACACTAACACATTTATGCACGTGTGTAAGCAATATCTATGCACATCAGTGATGTATGCACTACATTAGGAAAATTAGCTCTATATCCATTGGAAAAAAAAATCTTAAATACACTTGCCATATCAAAGTGAAGGTAGAACAATAAAGTATGTCAGCACTGCCAAAAAACCCCAACAGAATCAATGCTCCAGGCCATCTAATGAATGTCTAATTTGGAGAGGGAGGGAAGGTGAGAAGAGGATATTGTGCCGGTAAAGACATTTACATGTAGTGAGCCTAAGCTCAGTGCAGCAAAGCAAGCCCTGTAACACCAAACCCAAAACCAGGTCTACCACAGGAACACCAGCTTTGTGGAACGTGGCACTATCCAAGTTCTTGCACACTAACTCATACCCGAAGCTGCACCCGAAATGCTCTGCAACCAGACTGACTTGGTGCAGAGCTACTTGGTGATGTCCTGAACCTCTACTCTACTTTCCAGCTCTCCTGGTTTTGGGATTACAGGACTGAGATATGAGTGGTTCTGCAAACACTCAGCCTGGATTTATTTGAGCAGGATTTATTATGCCAAGTTTTCTGGCATAAAACCAGTTGTGCTTCAGGACTTATGCTGGCATTGCAAACTAGCCATGACTGAGCAGTACTGCAGCAATACTTGTTAGCCTTGATGGGCCTAGGCTAGCTATGAACAGTTAACTTATTTCTGTATCAAATCTATGATAATGTAATTCAGATAGATTACTGAGGGTTAAAGTGAGAGTTCACTTGTAAATTCTAGAAATTTTGCAATTTTAATGCCAGTTTAAAATATTTTTTTAGTTAAATGGAAGTATATTTTTTGGAACTTAAGAGATATAAAAAACCTAGCAATTTTAAATCAAGCAGCTAGGCAAGCCTTTGTATTAGACAAGAAGTCTCCCATGGATCTAGGTCTTCCTTTCTGATATCACATCTCTAAAGTGAAACTTCTATCCTAAATATCTATAAGGGCAGCTAAAACTTTTTAGAGTCTATCTCCGAAAAAGTACAGATTGTAAATATCATCATCCCAAACCTCAAAATGAGGAGTAATTTTCTGAATCTCACAGAAAAACACCATCACTATCATTCTGCATACTTCAGATGGTGAAGCTTTTGTTAGAGGAATACCATGAAGCTTTTTGTACTAACGTACGAAAGCATTTTATCCACCAGTAAACCTGGTTCATTGTTATTAAAATCAAGTGGCTTTTCTCAAGCTATGTGGGTCAAATAAGGGAGTTACTGAGCAAATACACCCTTGCTTTAAGTTCAAGTAGCCTAGACTCGATTCATAACTGCAACTGCAGACTAAATTCTGTTTATCCCCAATTTGGAGCATGATCAATGTACACAGTTTTCAGGACAATTAGTTGCTAAAAATCTGTGTGAATTTTGAACTTTCATATATCAAAAACTTGGACAGATTTGTACATGCACAGTAATGGTACCATTCCAAAGAAAAGACCATTCATTTGGAATCTCAGGCATCCTCCAAGCCACAAAACTCCTACAGTTGTTCAAGAAAACATTTTGTTAAGATGGGTAAGCCAATTTATTTTTCCTTTATATGTATGTCTCAGTGTGCCTAAACTGTCAAACAACTACTTTTCTTTTCTTGTAGACGATGTTATATGTAAGCATGACAGTAACTCACTCATTAGCAGAAGAAATGTCAGTGATAACGGTGACAAGGCTACGTTTACCTGTTGGATAATGTGTTGCTGTCTGCATGGTAAGGTTTCCTCTTAGTTGACCGCGAAGGTGAACTACCACAGCGATCCAAGAGTCTTTGGGTTTGAAATGAAGGATGGTTCAAACATTGTTCAGTCAAGTATCTGTCAGCTGGATCTAACTTCAGTAAGTTCTTTGGAAAACAAATCCCAAAGTTTAAATGTTTTTTAACATTTGCATCAGCAAAAAATATCATAAAGAACATTTTTGGGATAGTATTTTAATCTCCAGGGTTTCTTTGATTAGATGTAACTGCTAGAATATTTTAATGTTGCATTAAACTACATATGACACAGAATAAACACTTACAAAACTTATGTTCTACTAAAGAGATGGAAGGCCTCAGCCTTGTCTATTATGAAATATATGTGCTATATGTATATAATGAATATATACACATATATAGACATACGCGTGCTTAAAATACAAAAATATCTAAAATTTTAAAAAATATGTTTAACGCATGTACCTATACATATTCAAAATACATGTACTTTATTTACATATATACATATACTTAAAACATATTTTTCAGGATATACCTTACAACAATGTTTTTTAGAATGAAAAATATGAAATTTACTGGTAAATAAAATGCTAGGATGAAACAGGCTTTACAAACAAACAGAACAAGCATATGGGAACATTCTTATACAAACTAAAAGTCTTTTAAAGATAGCATTTAAAAAAATATACAAATATAAGAGCTCTGCTTTTTCTTCTAGGGTTCAAGTCCACCCATATTTTTAAAGAATCAGCTAAACTATTCACAATGCACTCAGAATAACATTTACCTTAGAATTCTGTTCTTTGTGCTGTGATTCTAACAAAGACACTTACTGACACATAGAAGACATTGAATCACAAAATCAAAAACCAGTAGGTTGGGTATTTTGCTAAGTTTGAAAGGTTTCTTGCAGGAACAGGGCAATACAAAACTTAATTTGCAAGATTTGAACATGCAAGACTGTTGGCAAGGATAAAAGTCTAAAGTTATTAAAGCTACTAAGTAAAAATAATAGCTATTTTTAAGGGTTATATAGGTTGAATAGAAAACAATTCTGTGTGTATATAGGCATGTGGATACACATACACCCAATGCATATCTGCATATGCATTGGCATAGTATTCAGCCACTTGACCACAAACTGGTTTTCCCTTCACAGGATCCTTGCACTTCAAAATGGAAAACGCTCAGGAAACAAAACAAGAGGCAAACTACACTGCTATGTACTTTGGTCATGCAGTGCGCAGTATCTTCTTTCTCCAGTGACCAACTGTGTACTGAACGACTAGTTTTTTCTTTCCCCCATTTTTCTGGTGCGCATCACTGTAGTGGCTCAAACAGAAGAAGGCTACATGTGATTTCCACATTTCTCCTTGGAAGAGAGGATGTTCAGAGGCTTCCTTCAAGTGGATGTACACTAACTTGCAGAGCCTAGAGCACAAGCAAAGAGAACTGAAAGTCCATAAGGAACCACAAGGCTGTGAACCTGTCTGCAATCACAGAGAAGCAGTGGGACAGGGCTCTTAGTTGAGGCATGGTCACTGATGGGTACAGCTAGCTTCAGAAGGAAGGGGGTAGGGAGGGAGAAGATTCTCCATAGAATTGAGTTCCTGGATGGTATCAAATGCCAACATGAAACAGAAGGTATATCCATTAATAGTCTCTGGGTCAGGATTAGAAGGAAAAGGAACGTTTGTGCTGTTATGGTGGGGGTTTGCTGCCAACCATGCATTGAGGAGCATGAAGATGATGAAGAGGACAACTCTACAACAAGAAGCCTCCAGATCACAGGTCCTTATCCTTATGGCAAACTTCAACTATCCAGACTGTGTAGATTATCCAGGCAATTTCTATACTATCTTGGTGGCAATTTCCTAGTGCAGGTGCTGGAGAGGTAAATCAGTCAAGGGTAAGACTTCACTCTACTTGACCTGCTGCTCACTAACAGTAAAGTACTGGTGACAAATCTGATCAAAGATGACAGTCTGAGCTGTAGTGAACATGAGATAATTAGTTAGGATTCAAAGCAAGACTGGAAAGATAAGCATCAGGTATAGGATCCAGGACTTCAGGAGAGTAGACTTCAGCTTCTATAGGAAATTACTGGGCAGAATCTCCTGAAAAAATGCCACCAGAGGAAGAGTGGCCAGGAGAGCCACTTCATTTTTAAAGAAAACTTCTTGAGTTCAGGAACAAAGCATGTACAGAAGACCACAAAATTTTACATAAGGTCGGGCTTGCTAAACAGGTAGTTTCTTAATGAACAAAAATGCAAAACGGGAGCATATAAGAAGCAGAGCCAAGGACAAGATACAAAGGAGGACTAAAAAAGCACTTCGTTAGCACAAAGGATAGGCCACTTCGGAATGGCAAAGTCCAGCTGGAGCTAAAGCAAGTGAAGAATATCAAGGGTAAAAAGAAGGGTTTCTGTAAGTATTCTAGCAGTAAACAGAAGCTCCAAGAAAAGGCATGTCTGCTGAGGAGACAACTAAATGACAGATGATATGAAAAAGACTGAAATACTCAACATCTTTTTTGCCCAAGTCATTACACGCAAAACCAGCTCCCAACTCCCAAATGCACGCTTGCAAAACAGCATGATTTTTGAAGGAGTGGGGAGGAGAGGAACAACAAAGTAATGGGGCCAAACAGACACTTCTCCATTAATCTAGCCCAGAAATGCTCTCTAAATAGAGACATATCTAGAACTCGCTAGTTTAGCTGGCATAAGGTGAAGTGTGGGTTATTCAGTAATCTAATAATCAGACCTGAGGTCCCTGGGAATGCAGATAATGAGGAACACACGAAGCGTGGACATGTGCCAGGCTGCCCAGCGTCTGGAGAAGAGACAGGCATACAGCAAAGTATGCACAGCATTCGTAGCACGCAACTTAACCACAAGTCTCTTCTCTTGTAGTCTTTTGCTCCTTCTTTAATAGCGTCCCAACTCCTGAATTAAGTAATGTAGGCCAAACACAAAATATCCCCTCTACAGAATCCCTGACTTTTCTCACCTTGTAGAGAGAAAAGTTTAAAAGAATCATTTAAAGTGGAATGGAATTATTTGGAAGCCTGTGTTTCCCTAAAATTCAAGTGCTTCATTCCACTACTTTGTAACTTTTAAATCACACCAGAAGAACCCAAAAGACATTAAGATATAACATAAAAATTAGGTTAAAATGAAAATAAACCCCACCCCAGCATGTGTAACAATGGTCTGACGAACAATCTTGAAATTGCTGTTCTGCAATATATGCTGCTACATCTTAAGCTAGAGCTAATTATGATGCCAGAAAAAAGAAGTTTCTATGAATTAAAAAATAGAGGAGAATTTATAATACCAAAACAAGCAATTATATGCACCAAGGTACCTAATTTTGCAGACTCCATGAAACCAAGGTAAAAGCTATGCTGACTCTCTTCATAAGGCACAGAGATGAAAATTATTTGAACCAGTTTTGTTAAAGAAAGAGTAAAGCAAACTTGCTAGATTTCTGCTGGCTACATCAATACTGATAAAAGCAAGTAAAGACCCAAGAATATCCCAAAGCAGATGACCTCTGGTTTCCAAGACAACTGGTGCAGATGGGCTTGGGACAACATAATTAATTTAGAGTTGATTAGCCATATCAATGCTTCATAGGCATCCCAGATGGCCTTTAATTCTTAGGTGGTACCCTTATGATTCTAAACCTAATTTTTGACGCTATGACTTTTTTTTTTTTCAGCTTACTGCAGATGAAGTAATGGGAGGGTTGTACTGCAGCTTTCCATGGTAATGATTTTATTGTACAGTAATAAGGACATCAATGTATGTTGCATACCCAGGAATATGGCACAAATGCATAGCACAATGCTTTACAGTATTTGGCCATTTTGAGGGGAGCCAGCTTCTCCTGATCCCCTTGTAAGAAATTATTGTAGGACCATATCCTAGTTTGGCCATGGTTAACTAGCTGATGTGTTCCAAAACAGAACTGAAGAGTAACTTAACATACATGCTATGCAGAGGTGTGTGATAGCAAGGAGATGGGGGATTGGACTAGATGATCTTTTGAGGTCCCTTCCAATCTCTAACGTTCTGTGATTCTGTGAGATAAAGGGCTCAGCTAAAAAAAAAAATAAAATTAAATTTTACTGTGTGTCAACTTGTCTTTGACAACTGTCCACATCTTCATACTTGTCCAACAACAAATGAACAACAACTTAGGTTAGCCTAATAAACTGTGGATTTATCCAAATGTATTATGGGTTGAGATGTCTATCTGAATGATGTCAGTGTGATGCATATTGCTGCAAATTATGGTGATTTTTTTTTTTGTCTGGACTATGTATTGTTTATGAAATCAGTCAAATTTCAACAGACTCTCCAGGCATCTGCAAGGGACATTTTCCTGATTCCTAGGAAATATCAAGCCATGCTAAAAAGAGTGGTGTTATCAAAAATATCTCAAAAGGAAGTTCACAAGCACTTTTAAAATGTATTATATTAGGAAACAAAGACAAAAACTCACATCTTTC